CGTAAATTTGAAACTTTGCATTCCAAAGGACGATGGCCGCGTGGTCCGTACAAGCGGAATATAAATTCGAAATCCCTTTGTCTGTTAGGATGGAGCTTTGTCCGCTTCTCAAGGATTTTCCATTCGAATCGTTTCTGGCGCATGCTACTTCTTTCTCAATTCGATGGCTTTGTGCACTTTAAAAATCTCCACTCGAGATGAGCATTTCCTCCTCCCCTTTACCTGAAACGTTCGACTTTAAATTCTTTTTTCCCCCCATTACCTGAGAGTAAACTACGTACGAGGAAAGCAAATAAAATAAAAGACTAATAGTTGACGAAGATAAGAAAAGATGCATTAACATATGAGTAAATAGGAATTGCTCTTTTTCGTATACCACATGAATTTTTTTATTCAATGTTCATTGGTTATTTTTTGTCAATGCAGATGTGCATTACAAAATAGTATGTAACATATAAAGTGACTCGATATTGGATTTGACGAATTCTAAAGGAAGCTGATTAATATTTAATTCGTACGTAAAGTAATTTTGAATTGATTATTCAATCTCAATTCAATCGAAGTTCAATGCGTAATAATATTTGACTGTACGTGGTAGCAACAATACTTATAGTGTTCATCAAAAATAAAATATTAATGGTGAAAAGTATACAAAAGAAAAACCAACTGAAAAAAACAAAGTATTAATACAAATAGATAGGTGCCTGTTAGCAATGGCACGAGAAAAAAAAAGCTACAGACTCTATGTATCATCGGACGACCTCGTGAACTCCTTACGGTCCACCGAATCTGACAAATAACGAGCAACGCGGATTTTTCCGGGTATAAGAGTAAGTGGAGAATTCGCGAGGCTCTACTGGACACTAGCCAATCCTTCGTTTATCATCGGTCGATCGCTGCACGTTTTTACGTTATTAAATTTCACGTTTACTCGCAGTTGCCTGTGACTTTTTTGTTATTGTTATGTATAAAAGTTTATGTGCGCAACTTCAAAGGGTATATCTAATTATCATCGCCTTTTACATCGGAATCCTTTCATACGTACTTTTTAAAGATAAAATAAAAATTTTGTCCTAATACATGAAAACGATTTTTTTACAAAAAAAAAAAACTGATTTATCAATTCAGTTTTTAATGTATTCTGTTACACTGGCAATATGCCAGCTCAAATATTTATTATTCAGACGTCTCTGATACATCGGCGCATATATGCAGCGAGATGAAATTTTCATGTTGGCATTTTTTAATTACTTGTGTTTTAAAATAGAATCGCCGTAAACTCGGTTGCAAATGTCACTTATTCACAAAAATTAATTAATTCATTCAAGATGAAAAGTAAATTTTATTTAACGGTTACATTTCTATATATTTGTTTATAGACATAATATTGTTAAAAAAATTTTGATGAAATCGAAATGTGGGTGGAGCCACATGAGAGACACTCGACTTCGTTTTCCGTTTTTACTCTCGCTCGCCACGTTCTCACGGTGCGGATGATATTCGTCAGCTTTTCGAGCTGCGCGTGCAAATGCATCTCCACCTCCATAAGGACAATTAAGTGGGAATGATTAGGCGAAATGCGCACCGAGATAGATCCGGCGCGGCCGGTAGACTCAATTCAAGTTCAGTCGTCGCGTGCGCACACACACGTTCTTTCTCTCTCTCTGTCTCTCTCTCGGCTTCAAATAATAAAGCGCATATATTTAATCGCAATTTTAGTTGGATTTATTTTGCACATCCAATCCTACCTTCAAAGATCGGGCAGCGACGGAATAGAACCACCACCATTCAAAAATAGTCTTCATAACTAAATATTTCAATAAAGGCATTCTAAAAAGAACATGGTTTTTCTTTTTCATCAAGGCATACGTTGTCAACGTATTTTTCCATTGAAAATTATTCACTCGATGAAAATGGCGCGCGAGTTTACGCTCTTGCACACTTTTCCCCGTTGTAACAAACGAATAAAGCCGCCTCGTTAACGAGCTTGGCCCACATTAACCGGTCGCAAAATCAGCCTGCAACTTTACAATGCGAGGCCACCGGCATTATCGTCAATTCAACCTGAATATCATGCGTCGAGTCTCTCTCCCTTTAGCTATTAGCAGTTTCGCCTCGTTTACCGCTCACTATATCGATTTACCAATGCCAATGCTGTCAGAACGCCAACAAAAAAAGTCTTCTCGTTTTTTTTCTGTTTTCCACGTCTCCATTATTCTCTTATCAGTTCGTCGAACCGATGACATTTTTTTTCTCTCTGGCGGCCTAGGGAGCCAAGCTTGCAATATGCGCCTTGCGCAACCCGAATTTTTACGCGTGACAAGCTCCCTTGATGCTGTTACATAGGAGGGTAATTTAATGTTAAAAGTTAGTCTGAAACAACTAGATTAGGGTTGTTGACTATATCGGCATTTTCTTTACCGAAGAAAAGGGGAGCTTCGGTGTATCGGATTATGCACTAACGTTGTTAACTTGTTAACGGAGCAATAGCCACATGGAACTTTATTAAAGTAATTGACTAAGTATATATTTGCAGTTTCATTAAATCGACCTATACGGGTGTATGTGTGTGTAGTTAAATTGATTCCATTTGTATTTATTTTTCTCTTCCCCAATAGACTTGTTTTGTTGATAAACTTGCTTGATAAACTTCCTATTTCGTACATTGGTTTTTCCTGAATAAACTTTGTTAAATTTAGTGTGAGGTGTTATTTTTCTTGATTCCACAATAACAATTATTTCATAAAAATTCAAGATGACTTAATTACTTCATCAAATTGTAGCTTTCACTGAAATATTATTTGCTTAAAAAATAAAAAAGTAGGACTTAAAAGTAAGATAAAATCTACATCATAGAAAACAAAATCTTTTGATAAGAAATTAAAGAGTAGGTAAGAAGTTTTTTTACATTTGCATTACACATTGAGCTGAACGTACTGATGGAATGCCCATTTACTCAGTTTGACCAATTAAGTTGCCACTAATTGGTGGCAATTATTAATTTGCTTAATCATCACCATTGCGTTTCTCAAAATACTTATCGATCGATCGCTACGCCTATTAACCAAAACGACCGAAACTATGTATACACGAAGAACTACCGAGACAAGTGGTAGATTTTATCAAAGTACAACAATCTTATCAGCGACATAATATATATATATATATATATATATATATATATATATATATATATATATATATATATATATATATATATATATCACAGTTGCGCGTACAATAAACTTTATACAGCTGTAAAAGTTACGAGTCTTCTCGCTGACAATGCATAAGAGGCAGCTCGGTATTAGGCAGCTCGCAATTAGTTCAATTAAATCTTTTACGTTTCTCGCAGCAGCCCAATGGTCGTTATCCTGCTCAACTGCCTTTTCTTTTTTCAAAAAGAAACCCCGAGAAAAGTTCCTCCGAAAGGTTTCTCTCGTAATGATTGGTACTTTGGCGCGAATTCGGCGGCGCATTGCCTGCGCGGTGGCGTTCGTCCCCTCTACTCTCGCAGCAGCAGCGCACTGCAGTATTTCCGGGATTGAGACGTGGCTAGCAATTTCGAATTGTCGTCGAAAGGCAGAACGAAAAACGCACTTTTCGGAGCGATAACCTTACTTTTTGCCACCTCTTCGAAATGTAGGTTTGATACATTCTTCATTGTCTTTTTCCTTGATACAGCTCAACGTTACGTCGAGGAACGGTGGATGGGATAAATTATTTTGATTTCGTCCTACAATTTCCGATCGGATGGGCTGTAACGGTTTTTTTTATCAACTTTGCCTATAACTTTTACAGGTCGTGTACACGAATGGCTTGGTATCTCAACGGAGCTTTACGGTAATTTCCACGCGAAAAACATAGACGTCCATATTCTTTACACGACATATAAATCTCTGCTGTGATTAATCTCGTAGATTCGTTTACGCGAGGTTGCAACTATTTTTATGAAATTTCGCTCGTCCTAACGACTCAACAGCAGCCGTACGTTACGTCCTATCATCGCTAAAAGTTAACAACTAAAGCCGTAACGATATAAAATAACGCACACCTAGACTGCACGCGCGTAAATTTTTCCGTCAGCAATTTCTAACGAGGTTATATATTCCTTAGTACGATGGCCAATCCGAAACGACTCACTTTTCTTCGGAAAACGCTACAGCCATTATCTTGGCGTGAGCAGTGTCTCGCTTAATGAAAACCCATTATCGCTTATCCTAATTGAATTCGCTGATCTGTTTGATCAAGCTGCTCGATCGTTCCACTTGCCAAGACGTGCCTCCCTCTGCTCCCCAGGAAATGGTCTATCTTAACTCTCTCGCTCCCTCGATTCTTGCATAAAGACTTTCACAGCCACGTGTGGCATCCCGTACGCAAGAGGGAGCGAAGGCGGTTATTGTCGAGGATTAACTGACTTACCGGGAAAGTCTGGGTGACGGGTCGATATAACTATTTATATTCTAACACTGGATCAACTCGTTCGCTTTTATTGCCTGTGCGCGCGTTGCTGTTTTATTTGCTACGACGGTGGGATTTCGTCTTGACCGCATGCTGCTTGCGCGAGGTTTCAATTATCGGCTAACTTTCGATCGACAGACACGTGGTCGTGTGCGGCCAATGTATGTATTGCAGTATTGCTCGATCAGGTCGGGCTATTAAAGGAACACGATTGCGCTGCGCTGATATTTGCGCGAGTTGTCAAGGATGAAACTTACATGAGTTGGTACAGCTTTTTTTGTAATTTTAGATTTCTTTTCGGATTTGCGTTTTGTTTTAATTCAAATTCAAAGTACATTAGATCGATCTTGTAATTTTACCGAATTCAAATTGGGAACAGACGGATGTAAAACGACGCTAACCCCGCTCGTTTCTTCTCTTAGGTCTATGCGTTCATTGAAACTTGTCAGATTGTCTCGACAAGCTCGCCATTGACCAGAAAAAAAAAAGAAAAACAAATCTTCACTTGGCCATTTTCAAGAAAACTGTCAACGATTTACCTGCAAATGATCCGGTTAACTACCAATCCTTCAATCCACAGCCAAGCACTGACAGAACAGAAATGAAAAAAACAAAACAAAAAGCACAATAATGATTTATATACATAACACGCGCGCTCGAATCTTAAAACTGATCGCGACACTCGCGAGAAGGGTGGTTTTGCGCACTCGGCGAATGCCGCGGCAAGACTGAGAGAGAAGAGCACTGGAGGGCTGCTGCCTGGCCGGGTGGCTGCCATGGCAACTCCACCTCCTCTCTCTTAGCGCAAGCGCGTGTAGCTTCGCTTGTCTTCTTCACTCGGCACAAAGAGAGGGAGAGAGAGATGTCCATCTCTCTCTCTCCCTCTCTCTGAGGTTTTATCGTTCGCTCCTCTGTATCATTATGATATGGCTTCCGATTTTTTTTTTCGTTTTGCAAGTATAGCGCGTTTTATGATGATTTCAATTCGAGAGTGATTGATGTATTTTCAAGTTTCCGATTTAACATCGATGTCGTTTCAGCTATTAGCTTGTCATTAAAGTTGTTGAGCTGAGCTTATACACAGGAAACTAGAAGGAGACTTATTGTCCAAATTTCGCAAATGAAACTATTGTATGACTAAGAGTTAGAAATTGAAGAGTACTTTATGAAATCTTTGTTAATTAATACGTACTTTATTTTCGCATTTTTTATTTATTGCTCATTACGACTGAATTACAGAGAAAAGCTCTTTAAACGAATGTCTCTGACAAATTTTCATCACACGTTTGAATATTATAATTTTTAAAAATGAATTATCGCTATTGTGTTTAAATAATTGTTTGGTGGAATTACATTCTACGAGCATGCGTATTTTATATTTCTGGTTGATGCAATTGAATTTTATAAAACGCTATAACTATTGTTGTGGAAAAACTGCAGTGATGTCTTTGATCATCAGAGTGTAAAATCAAAATTCTGGTGAAAATATAGTCTTTTTGTACAATCAAACCAAACATTTCAGTTAATTTTATAATTTAATATGCCTTTCGCCTTCATGTAAATATCTTTAATAAAAGAACTGATGGACTTATATAGTGCAGCTTACGTTGAGAACTGTGAAAAAATGATACGTCAAACTCATATTTCGATACAGTTGTCAAAACTCGATATCCCCTGTTTAATTAAGAATAAATAAAACAATCTATAGTAAAGAATAGCAGTTCACCATATGAACAAGCTAGAGTACAATACAATAATGTTAACTGTAGGAAAAGAAATATCAGATATTCCACAAATATTCATACGTTGGATCTACGCAGTCAAGACATGATTCGGGAAACGAGAGGGAAAAAAGGAAAAAAAAGATAGTGAACTGCATCAACAAAGTATAAGTAAATGTAGGCATCACGCGGTGCATTTCTACAATACGTGTTTATCGACTTTTGCATCCCTTTTTTATCCCTATTTTTCATTGTTTTCACTTGATTGGATACGAATTCCTCAAACTTTTCTTCGCTATGTATAAATTTATAGAACTAATAAAACTTACAGATATAATTATCAATCTATATACTCGTTTCCAGTGGATACGATACAGATAAATAAATAAATTATTGCGTGGAGCATGAGCATAGGTAAGAACTTTGGTAAGGCAATTGGAATTGTAATGCGATTTTTCAGTTCGATTTATACAGTAGCATCTTCTTATTTATGTGACGTTTGATTTGAACTTTTGGGTTAATTTTTTATTAATATCAATTGAAATCTTATCATTGATCAATTATTATAGTAGTGACAACAAAGGACATTTTTTTTAATAATAAGCTTACCGGGACAATAAAAATGAAGCAAAGCAATAAATACCGAAGCGATCGATCAACGAATACCAAAGAAAAAACTAACCTTGTAACCGACAAATACTCTCGTCTATGTAAGTACGAGAGAGCGAAGAAAAAGAAATTCCAAAAATGATGTCGACGGGGAGGATAAAGCATGAGGGAAAACGGTCGTGCTCGACGAAAAAGAAACAGAACAGCGTGAGAGTAACATAGAGGGTAGAGCTGTCGGCTGGCGCGCGTCGAGGTAGAGGTAATTGCAAGAGAGTACGGGGAATCGATGACGCGAGTGTATGAGCCTACTCGTCTCTCTTGTCTCTCCCTCTCTCTTTCTCTCTCTCTCTCTCTCTCTCACCGCGTCGCGCACCATTATATGAAGGGGGTCAACGTCGACAGACGATAGACAGACAGACAGACACACACACACACACACACACACAAAGCTTTACGAAGACATAATTTCATGGATAATGTGCCTATTAATAGCAATATTCATCCAATGTCGTTTGTCACTCGTTAATACTCACTGCCTTTTTATCAGAATAGCAGTTCGTCTTTATTTCTTCCGTTACTGTGGAAGAAATAGTGAACTGTGTGTACTGGTGATCTCTTACTCATAGCGATTAAGATAATTCAATCGATTGTCGTTATTTTTTTATATATGTCTGCTTATTTTCTTGAGGTAGTAGCTTACTGCATTTCTTTTGAAGATTTGCGAAAAACTTCAGGCGATGTATTGCAAAATTAGGATATGATAGTTCCATGGAAATACAAGTGTAATGCATTCAAATGAGGAGTTCTACGGTTTCTACTTGCTTCTCATCCAAATCAGTTTTTCATTTATTGAGCCAATCAAACATAATTGTACTTTACGAATGCTGTCTTTCGGATAATCAAACATCGGAAAGCCCCGCCACAAGCCCGACAACTCACGAGAGTGTGTTGCATTTTCGACCTGCAATCAGAAATGCCGTATTTGCCCAACTATTTTATCAAGTTCCAACATCATTTCTTACTCTTCCAAGACTATCCCTAGAGTTACACGGGCGGGTACGGAGCGCGATGAGGTCGCGTTAATCCGAAAGTCGTACAGCCCCGCAGCACAACGCGAGTCTCATGGGAAATTCGATTAGTTAACGAGTCTTGCCTCGCGGTCATTCTCTAGTCAACGAAAATCGCCACTTCTCACCACTAAAGCGTCAACCCTTTGCCCTGTTTTGAACGAGTTATCTACTCACTACCGTGTACACTCCTTGGCTTCGGTTTAGCATGTGATTTCTAGCGAATTTTTTATTACTCCAAGCTTTCCGTTAATTTCGTTTTGCGACCGAATAAAGCGTGAGTGGTATATGAATTTAATATTTTTTTAATATTTTTTTGTATTGCAAAGATAATTATTTGTGGTTTTGTCTAACTGATCTCGTAGCAAATGTAAACAAACAACGAATCTCCATGTACGAATTATATTAAAATAACTTATATCTTATTAAAACGTAAATAACACCAAACACTTAAGTAACATACTATCCAGAAGCTTTCTCTCGATCAAAAGTCCAAATAGTCATTCAGCTTTGAGCAGGCAGTTTCGCGATATTGCACATCTTGGACCATCGTCGCCGTCGTCTCATAAACTTATTCTCTCTCTCTCTCTGTCTCTCTTCCGTGTGGATATGCAACCTCAAATTCATGTCATAATCATTCTGCGAATACGATTTAACGTAACACTCGCACGTCTATTAGAAGACACTACTACGAGATGTGGTCTACCCTCCACGCGCGATGTATTTACTCGTGAAGATAGAGGATCGAGTCGCCACGTCAAAAAATATCAACGGTTGTTAAGAGGTTAACATATACGAGGGAGAGTTAGATACTATCAACACTGCCAAAAGAGCCTGCGTATGCAATTTGCTAAAAATGCGTTATTGCCCGACTTTGGATACTTTGGGAAGCTTTTTATCTGATTCAGGGTGAATTTGTGCATTACAATCTTACATCTTTTACTAAGAAATTTCATAAAAATATCTATTTTTTATATTGAACTATTAAATTATTGTCAACACAATCGTTATGTAAAACTATTATGAAAAAACTTTTTCTCCTATCGAAATCGATTAACAAATAATAAAACCAATCATGTTCTGACATGTTATCTCGGTATTTGGACCGTGTCAATTTTGAAGAACGAAAAAACCAACATAAATATTATTAATATACCCTTCATTATGTGGTCTTAGATCTAACCATAGTCATTAGTTAATCCATAGAGAACGAATGCGATTGTGTGTCGGAAAAGAAATGAAAAATAATACGCGCGAGGCGCGATGTGACTTTGCGATAAGATAACGATAAGCCACCTGTTAACGAGAGACGAGAACCCAAACCCACACAAGCGGCAGGATGCTTTCAGAAAATTAATGCAGTAGCCTGTCATCGGCCGAGAGAGAGAGAGAGAGAGAGAGAGAGCGCTATGTATATACACGTGCATGCTGCCCGCGAAATTCTATTAAATCGACGACATGACCCGACATCGATTCGCCCTAATCTCTTCCCCTGCCCACTCGTAAGCGCCTAATCTCTATCCTTAGCCAAGGCTTGATTAATCTCTTTTGCCGACCACTGACGCGTGCCGAAAAGATTTTTTTTTTCCTTGGTTTTTTGTTCCCTTGACGCGCCCGTTGATTCGTGAGGTGCAAGCACAAACATATACTCTAAGTCGTATTATTTTCAATATGCACTCTGTGATTAAGTTTCTCACAAAATACGACAAGAAATTATTTCTTTTGTCCGTCGTAATAATCCGCAGCTATAATTCACAAAAAGAATAATGCACAAGAACGAAATCATATTTCGTATTATCCAGCATGTACGGCTTCGCTTCGTGCATCATCCTCCTTAATCCCGACATATTATTATAATATCCCGACCTCTAAATAGACTACACGCCATACCGCGAGGAATAACCAAGAAAGGTATCAAGAGCGAATTATAACTAATGGTGGCATAGTATAATTAACGGGCTTAGCTTGTATCTTGCGCGCGATATCGAAATAGTGCAAGTCTGGTAGAAAATTATCGACGACGTGCTCAACGCTTTGCTTCTCATTAGCGCGCGCTAAGGATAAAATCTCTCGCTTGTATATTTTTTTTATGAAAGCCATTAGCTCGTCTTGATAAGGTCGTTGCTGCTGCTGCTGCTGCTCTCTTGCTTAGTAAAATTATACGCTAAATTAGGCGCGCAGTGCTTTTTCGTTGTGTCGTCAAAGTGAATGAATGCGAGTTTCAATTTTTCTCGGATACTCCGTGGTTTTCGTAAATAATTGGTGTACGAGACGCAAATATAGATTGTTCGTAGAATACGT